TGAAAACATTTGTCAATAGCATTTTGTAATTAAGTTAAGTTGGGTCATCAAAGGAAAAAAAATGATGGACATCTTCACCTGTTTCTCGTTGCGCTCTATTGTAGATGGCACTGTGTCATGGCCCTTGTGGTCATCCAATAAGCAGTGCATGCAGACACATTTCTGGTCCGTTCGACAGTAAACCTCAAGAAGCTTGTCGTGTTTGGGGCATACTGGAATGACTGCAGCTTTCACCAGCTTGTGTTTCTTCAGGGCAGGAACATTATAGTGGGGTTGTACATGTGTTTCACAGTAAGAGGCTCGACACTCCAGACAAGACTTGACAGCTTTGATCATTTCTCCAGCACAGAAATCTCACGCAATCTCTCCAGGTCCAGCAAGACATTGAGCAGACTCTGACACTTGCAGCTCTGTGCTCCTCAGTTTCTCCATTATTTCAGCAAGCACTGTACTTCTGTTGAGTGGAGGCTTTGAATTGAAGGCCTGTCTGCATTGTGGACATCTATAGATCCCGTTCAGATCATTTGTATTCCAGCACTCACCTATACAGCCCATGCAGTAACTATGTCCACACGGAATTGTCACAGGATCCCTCAACAAGTCCAAACATATTGAGCAGCTGTACTGGTCATGATCTTCAAGTATAGCCTCTGCCATGTCTGCTAAAACCTCCTTGTGTTAGCAAAGAACCATGGATGTAAGTTAAGGTGTAAGTGTGAGAGTGAAAGTGAAAGCAAGCAATGATTCATCATAATACACAAATACAGTGATACAAATGCTTATGTGAGTTGGGAAGGGTAAAAAAAATCATTGTTTTGTATTTTCCTCATAACAGAGACTGGTGTGCTTTAAGTTATGGTCGTAGATCTTTGAATTTTGATCTTTAGGAGTTTTCAGTATCACCATTAGATGGAGACATCTAGTAAAGTCTTCCTGACAGAAACCGGAAGCGTTTTAGTCGTGCAGCCACAAAGCCTGTTGGGTAATGTAGTTTTGTCGAACATGAAAATCAGTCATGCATACGAACTGAACTGTATGGTCATCACAGCTAATTCCTAAATAAAAATAATTAGCTTGTCATCATGATACTTTAATTGACACAAACTCAGCTAGGAAGAAATATACAAAACAAGAGCCACAGATACTTGTAGACCAATATGTATACACATGCATATAACATAAGCTTTAGCCACAATGGTTGAATATCAGTGCAGTTTATTTAATTCACTCAAAAGACAAAAAAGAAAAAAAGACTAATTTAGCAACAAAATGTGCATTTGTTTGGATTGTATTTTTGACAGGACATTTTCAATTTATTATTTTAAAAATTATAATTAATTATTTTAGATTTATTATTAAAGTGAGATTGAACAGACATAATTCAGTGTATGTGCTCATTCCCAGAGCTAAAACAGATTTCAGTTATTAAAAATCAGTCTATATCTGTAGAAAGATTTTTTCTAACTGCAGCACCCATGCTGTAGCTAATAAATTATGATGCAATCATACATGAGTCAAATTGAAGACAAAAAAAATGCAAATGAATTTGAAACACCTGAATGAAAAGAACCATTAACGTAAACTTCTGTCTAATATAATATCTCTCCTGTGCTGTGAAGGACACCAGTATGAAAACCTAAGACTGAAATACGAAAAGGGTACATTTTTCATGTTCACATGACTGTAAACTTACAAATAAAGACATTGGCAAGTTTCAGTGAAAACTCATTCATTGGGCACCCCTGCTCTAAACAATGTAAAGACATGAAAAAAACATCTAAAAAACACCTAAAAATCTTTTCTCAGGTCTTAAGAGGTTAAATTGTAAAAATATTTCACAATATTACTGAATTTACTGTATTTTTCATTAAATAAATGCATCTTGGTGAACATAAAAGACATCTTAAAAAAATCTTAATTATTCCAAACTTTTGGCTGCCAGTGTATATGATAAATATATTAAAGTAGTTTATTCAAGTTTGTTCTTTGAGAAAAATACACAGATCTTGCCTTTTACCACACCAACACTCTTGTGTGTGACATGTCCACCCCAGTTATGTTTTGGAGTAATTATGGAAGATTTCACTCTGACTCTGTCTCCAACCTTAATGTCGACTGAAACATTTTTTGTTAACAAATATGAAAATGAAGATAATACAGAAAGCATTTTCACTTACAAAGTGCAAACAGATAAAAAAAAATGCATAGGGAAATTACCTAAATCAGTACTGGTCACAAGCTCCATTTCTGAAACTAAACCAGTCCATTTTTTATGACGTCCTATTTTCTCACTCTGTGGCACACAGTGAGCCTACAAAAAATCTTTAATCATCATTTCATTTATTCTGGTAAAAAGCACAATGCATGAGGAATGCATGCCGAAACCATTGCCGGTCAGTCAGTGCTCTCACTTTTAACAACACCAATGCTTTTGTGAGTGATTGCTCCCCATTTGTGTGTTGGCTTCACACGAACTTTGTCTCCAATCTTAATATTGGAGTCCAGACTTGAAGGTCCTGAAATCACATGGAGGTCTGAGTGTTTGATGGAAGACTCTCATAGATTATTCTCTCATGGATCAAATTTTGTTGTTTTAAACACTTTGTGCCTCGTTCTACAGATGGACAACTGTTTTGCTAAAGTAGACTCAACTTAACTTTTTAAAAATGTGAACAAACTCTTTGCCGTTGCGCTGTACACATAGCCTACTATACACTGTGAATTTCTGTAATGTTTTTTTTTTCATGTGTGCTTTGGTATGCATAAATTTATGAATTAGGCCTCCTTATATCATTTGGTTAATAAGTGTCCTTTTTTTTGTTGAAAAATACCTAAATTTACTTTGGAAAAAGCTTTCAGAAAATATATTTTTGTGTGAATCAATCTGATGGGTTGCTGGATATAGCAAATGATGACAAAATGAATGTGTTAAACAAATTGCCTATGCTTATTTTCTTGATAAGAGTGCGATTAATCGCACAAAAAGGGTGTGATTAATCATGATTTAAACATTTTTTTTAATCTATTGACAGTCCTTACAAGTCATTAAAGTAAAAAATGATGGACATCTTCACCTGTTTCTCGTTGCGCTCTATTGTAGATGGCACTGTGTCATGGCCCTTGTGGTCATCCAATAAGCAGTGCATGCAGACACATTTCTGGTCCGTTCGACAGTAAACCTCAAGACGCTTGTCGTGTTTGGGGCATACTGGAATGACTGCAGCTTTCACCAGCTTGTGTTTCTTCAGGGCAGGAACATTATAGTGGGGTTGTACATGTGTTTCACAGTAAGAGGCTCGACACTCCAGACAAGACTTGACAGCTTTGATCATTTCTCCAGCACAGAAATCACACGCAATCTCTCCAGGTCCAGCAAGACATTGAGCAGACTCTGACACTTGCAGCTCTGTGCTCCTCAGTTTCTCCATTATTTCAGCAAGCACTGTACTTCTGTTGAGTGGAGGCTTTGAATTGAAGGCCTGTCTGCATTGTGGACATCTATAGATCCCGTTCAGATCATTTGTATTCCAGCACTCACCTATACAGCCCATGCAGTAACTATGTCCACACGGAATTGTCACAGGATCCCTCAACAAGTCCAAACATATTGAGCAGCTGTACTGGTCGTGATCTCCAAGTATAGCCTCTGCCATGTCTGCTAAAACCTCCTTGTGTTAACAAAGAGCCATGGATGCAAGTGAAGGTATAAGTGTGAGAGTGAAAGTGAAAGCAAGCAATGATTCATCATAATACACAAATACAGTGATACAAATGCTTATAAAGTGAGTGAAAGTGACGTGACATGTGGCCAAGTATGGTGACCCATACTTGGAATTAGTGCTCTGCATTTACCCATCCAAAGTGCACACACACAGCAGTGAACACACACCCGGAGCAGTGGGCAGCCATTTATGCTGCGGCGCCTGGGGAGCAGTTGGGGGTTCGGTGCCTTGCTCAAGGGCACCTCAGTCGTGGTATTGAAGGTGGGAGAGAGCGCTGTACATTCACTCCCCCCACCTACAATCCCTGCCGGTACGAGACTCAAACCCACAACCTTTGGGTTATGAGTCTGACTCTCTAATCATTAGGCCACAACTTCCCCTATGTGAGTTGGGAAGGGTAAAAAAAAAAAATCATTGTTTTGTATTTTCCTCATAACAGAGACTGGTGTGCTTTAAGTTATGGTCGTAGATCTTTGAATTTTGATCTTTAGGAGTTTTCAGTATCACCATTAGATGGAGACATCTAGTAAAGTCTTCCTGACAGAAACCGGAAGCGTTTTAGTCGTGCAGCCACAAAGCCTGTTGGGTAATGTAGTTTTGTCGAACATGAAAATCAGTCATGCATACGAACTGAACTGTATGGTCAACACAACTAATTCCTCAATAAAAATAATTAGCTTGTCATCATGATACTTTAATTGACACAAACTCAGCTAGGAAGAAATATACAAAACAAGAGCCACAGATACTTGTAGACCAATATGTATACACATGCATATAACATAAGCTTTAGCCACAATGGTTGAATATCAGTGCAGTTTATTTAATTCACTCAAAAGACAAAAAAGAAAAAAAGACTAATTTAGCAACAAAATGTGCATTTGTTTGGATTGTATTTTTGACAGGACATTTTCAATTTATTATTTTAAAAATTATAATTAATTATTTTAGATTTATTATTAAAGTGAGATTGAACAGACATAATTCAGTGTATGTGCTCATTCCCAGAGCTAAAACAGATTTTAGTTGTTAAAAATCAGTCTATATCTGTAGAAAGATTCTTTCTAACTGCAGCACCCATGCTGTAGCTAATAAATTATGATGCAATCATACATGAGTCAAATTGAAGACAAAAAAAAATGCAAATGAATTTGAAACACCTGAATGAAAAGAACCATTAACGTAAACTTCTGTCTAATATAATATCTCTCCTGTGCTGTGAAGGACACCAGTATGAAAACCTAAGACTGAAATACGAAAAGGGTACATTTTTCATGTTCACATGACTGTAAACTTACAAATAAAGACATTGGCAAGTTTCAGTGAAAACTCATTCACAAAAGCAAATGGTGAGCAGAGACATCCACAGTCACATCTTCACGATCTAGGGGGATCCTGAAATGTCAGTGTCTGTAGACATACAGAAAGGCATAAGATTTTGGTTGCATGTTGGTGGGAAACAAAAACTAATTCAGGGGAAAAAACACATCTTCAAAAAAAAATCTTTAATCATCATTTCGTTTATTCTGGTAAAAAGCACAATGTATGAGGAATGCATGCCGAAATCATTGCCGGTCAGTCAGTGCTCTCACTTTTAACAACACCAATGCTTTTGTGAGTGATTGCTCCCCATTTGTGTGTTGGTGTAACAACAGATGGCTTCACACGAACTTGGTCTCCAATCTTAATAATGGACTCCAGACCTGAACATCCAGAAATGCAAGGAGCGTCATGATCGTCTGAGAGATTTCTGCTGAATAGCAGCTACTTACATGTCATGGAAATACTGTAATACTCTGTGTAATTACCAAACTCATCATCACTGGTTACTAGCTCCATTTAAAAGAGAATTCCCTTCCAATTTGCATGTTCAGGAAAGTCAACAATCAGACTGTCATCACATTTAATGTCTAAATTTTAAGGCTTGTACTTGAGTGTGGATTGCTTGATAACATGATTTATCTGAGGGAAAAAAAAAAACACAGATCTTGCTCTTTTACCACACCCACATTCTTATGTGTGACATAAGCACCCCAGCTATGTTTTGGGGTGGTAATGGGAGGTTTCTCTCTGACTTGATGTCCAACCTTGATGTCAACTGGAGCATTTATTATTGACAAATTTGAAACAAGTAAAATATTACAGTAAACACTTTCACTTCTAAGTGCACAACACAACATTTAAGCTGCAGCTAAGAAATTGCCTGCAATTATTTAAATGATCATGTCTTTAAATACAAACAATTACCTGGACCAGTGCTGGCCACAATCTCCATTTCTGAAACAATACCAGTCCAGTTTTTTTGCTCCGGGAAATCTACAGTCAAAGACTCACCCTGAATTTCTGCAAACATAAAAAACATTCATGTCAAATATGCTGTTTTTTCTCACTCCAACAGGCATTCAGTGAGCCTATAATAATTTCTTTCAACATTCATCATTTTCAGACATTTGTATGACTAATGTAAGTTATGAAACTCAGTGCTCTTACTTTTAACAACACCAATGCTTTTGTGAGTGATTGCTCCCCATTTGTGTGTTGGAGTAACAACAGACGGCTTCACACGAACTTTGTCTCCAATCTTAATATTGGAGTCCAGACTTGAAGGTCCTGGAACAAATTGGCTATGCTTATTTTCTTGATAAGAGTGCGATTAAAATTTAATCTATTGACAGTCCTTACAGAAAAAAAATGATGGACATCTTCACCTGTTTCTCGTTGCGCTCTATTGTAGATGGCACTGTGTCATGGCCCTTGTGGTCATCCAATAAGCAGTGCATGCAGACACATTTCTGGTCCGTTCGACAGTAAACCTCAAGACGCTTGTCGTGTTTGGGGCATACTGGAATGACTGCAGCTTTCACCAGCTTGTGTTTCTTCAGGGCAGGAACATTATAGTGGGGTTGTACATGTGTTTCACAGTAAGAGGCTCGACACTCCAGACAAGACTTGACAGCTTTGATCATTTCTCCAGCACAGAAATCACACACAATCTCTCCAGGTCCAGCAAGACATTGAGCAGACTCTGACACTTGCAGCTCTGTGCTCCTCAGTTTCTCCATTATTTCAGCAAGCACTGTACTTCTGTTGAGTGGAGGCTTTGAATTGAAGGCCTGTCTGCATTGTGGACATCTATAGATCCCGTTCAGATCATTTGTATTCCAGCACTCACCTATACAGCCCATGCAGTAACTATGTCCACACGGAATTGTCACAGGATCCCTCAACAAGTCCAAACATATTGAGCAGCTGTACTGGTCGTGATCTCCAAGTATAGCCTCTGCCATTATGCTACCAACACGCGCTAAGACACTACAGAAGATTTGTTTTGCTGTTGTCCTTCCACAAAAGGGTGTTTATGAAAGACCCGCTCTGGTTAGAAAAGAATGCGTTGTGTAATTTAAAAAGAGAGTGAAAGTGAAAGTAAAGAATTGGTGTAACACTATGCTTAAAAATAATAATAATAGGCTAATAATAATTCTGAAAGACACAAACAACACAGAAATACAGATTAAATACAGAACTGAAGATTATTTTTGTATTTACCTGATAACAATTCGTTGTGTTCGTCATAGTGAGGTGGCAGGAAACGTTTGAGGAATTTTGACCTTTGATCCATTTTATGACTTGAAATGTTTGTTCAAAGTACATGTTCGTCATAATTAAATCGCGTAATAAATATTAAGTAATAGTTATGAGTGCAGACATAAAAAGGAAGAAGAAGAAAAAAAACACCCAGTGCTGTATAAAATATAAGATTCTAGGCGACTGAGTAATCGCGAAGAGCCGAGTGTGTCCTTTTTCAGTAGTGTCTTTTAGTATAGCCACTAGATGGAGACACTGAATAGAGTATAACAAATCTTGATTCAGTTTCATGTGACAATTAACCATTCTTACTCTTTAAGAATATATATAACGGATTCATTGACAAGTTGACAGCCTCATTCACTCTTAGCATCGATCTGAAGAATTCTCTAACACCATGATTTAATGTTTTCTAGGTAGGCTACGTGAGAAAATTAAGTGATTTGAGTAGACTGTAGCTACTATTGTGTGTTGTCGGCAAAATGGAGCCCAGTGGGACGTCACCACAGTTTAAAATCAGAAGAGAAACGCAAATTCCCAAAACTGATGAAAAGAAAGAAATGTCCTATTGATAGGACTTGAACCGATTTAAGGCAGAAGTACCAGATACCTACCTCACGGTATTATAGCAATGAAAGTCACAACTCACTTCCTCAGAATATGGAAAACTGTTAATCGTGTTATTGTTTTTACTACTGCCAGACAGCCGAAGTTGAAGGCAGACAGTATACAATGTTCCTGCCTAATTAATTAAATTCTAGTTATACTATATAATACTTGGCATTTCTTTTCTTTTAAGTCACAACTGGGATGTTTTTTCCAATTTCTGGTAACTGAACTAGAAAAACTGAGTACTGAAATGTGTGGTCAAAATGAACTGAATATTATTATATTATTAATAAATCTGATTTTATTAACTAAATTGATCAAAATGACAAAGTGACATTAAAAATTCCTCAGAAAATTTCCAGCTATTTTCCATCACATTAGGAATCAAATAGGCCTACAATTTAGTTTTTCCTTAAATATAAATATATTATTTTCAGTTTTACAGTTTGTATCTCCTCTAACATCACCTCCAGCTTCTCAAATGTCTGTACACCCCAACATACAGAAACCATTTGAAGGTATAATTAACAGATTAAATTAAAATTAACATACTGTGCTTATATTTGTTACATACATTACATAAAAAGAAAACGGTTATAAAAGTACAAATGCCCCAGAAAATCAAATATTGCTATTTAATAACAAAGTTAATATCTCACATTGCCTTCAATATAACTAACTTTGAATAACATGTAAATCTTTCAAATGTAAATGATTTTCTGAATGTTATCTAGTAAACTCTTATTTGGCCTGTGGGGATGGCTGAGAAATTAGACCAATAAATAACTCCGTGTGTAGGCCTACTTTGTGAAATCATACATTCTTGCATGTCCATTTGATTTTTAAGATGCCTCAAAAACAAGATGTGCATTGTTGAAGTTGGGGCCCAGGGTAGAATCACAGACGCTTTTGTTCGGGGCTCCCCGCTCCTGCGATGGCCTGCTGTCGATCAAGATGCAAGAGTCCGCCCCCATCGGCCCTTTCACTGCTGCAGCTGGCTGCCTCTCGCTGCTTACCGTATGCTCTCACTGCAATCTGTGCTGGAGAGGCCGAACGAGCTGCAGCTTCAGTATTAAACCCAGCCTACAACCGTTTATGACGCTCGCCATCAAAGAACACGAACAACACGAGGTAAGTATACGCGTAAGATTTAAATACAATCTATATTATGTAGTCGCACCGCTTAATATGATCTCGATCCGCGATTGTTAAACGCGCGGTCTATTTCGAAAAGCGGCATGTTTGCGGAAGTGACCGTGTGGTCCATGTTTAGCCGCCCGTTATTTGCCTTTACATGTCATGTGTGTATCCAAAATATGTTTCACTCTCACGTGCATTTTGTCGACACGGTAAGCGTTTGGAAAAGTTGAAGACGCTGTTTGGGTTGCCCGTAAACAAGGCGAAGTTGACTAGCCAGCGGACCCGTTTGAAAAATCAAAATGGCTTCCATCTTTGTCGTCTCGGCAGAGAGGTTTATACCTTTGTTTCCCCGTCTCGCATGTCAGGGAGTCTGTGAGTAACCTTTTTTTTATATTTATCTAGAGGATTATTGTCCACCGAACCTTCGTATTAAGAGTCTGGGTGTTTATTTCACTGGTTTTTATTTATTTTGTTACTTACCCAGTAGCGCACTTTTTGACCAGTGACCACGTCAGTGCGGTGGGGGAGGGGAAGTGAGTCTGTCTGGGTGGAGCCTGAATGATACGTTTTGTTTTAGTTTAGACTCCAGCTACTTGAAGAATTTTTTACTGATTTTTTTATTTTTTATTATTAATAGTTTATTTTGATTAGTTTTTTCACAACTTGCAATGTAGAATTCCAGTTTCCTCAAATTCTTAACTGTTATACTTGAGGGCACATGGAGATCTCCTGAAAATCTTTCTCGATATAGAGTGCTGCAGGAATAACATATTTTTGTAGGCCAACCTAGAAGTTAGCATCATATTGGTTCCCTTGACAAAAAAGCCAATAGGATTTCCCCTCTGACGTTTAGATCATTGCAAAAAATAATCTCTGTGAACAAGCTTATGATTCTCACTTATGATTCTCGCATGTTTCGCTCATCATAATAATCACAAGTTAACACAACTTTTATAAATTTGATGCCTAAATGCAACGATATAAACAAACTACACCACAGTTGCATGACTTCACTGTCACCACCACTGAGTTTCCGCCAAATCTTTTAATCTTTAAAGGCAACCATTTGGAAAGTTTGAGTTGACTTGTGAGTAGATATTTGCCAGAATGGCGTTTAATGTCCATGGCAGACTCTTAAGTTCCATTTAGAGCAGTGGTTGTCAAACTCGGTCTTGGAGGGCCGGTGTTCTGCAAAGTTCAGCTCCAACTTGCCTCAACACACCTGCCTGGAAGTTTCTAGTGTACCTAGTAAGACCTTGATTAGCTGGTTCAGGTGTGTTTGATTAGGGTTGGAGCTAAACTCTGCAGGACCAAGTTTGGTGACCCCTGCTTTAGAGCTTTTTCAAGATGCTCAAAAAATCATGAGTGGGATTTTATGTTGAAGAATAAAACGTGAAATATCTTGAGCTTGTGTAAACCACAGACTTTATTTCAGGTATTTAATAAAAAACGCACTGATTTCAGGACGATGGAACCCGAAGTTCAAAAATCCTAACTCGTTTCCATGTTTTAGGACTCATTCCTGTGGCACTCTATTATTAACTGAATGCAGTGCTGGTGTACGAAATGTTGGTTGTAGTTTTAGTTGCAACAGATGTGTGTCAGCTTGCACTCTGGTCTCTTTTTCAACAGTGCTGGGATGTCACCCATGCTTCAGGTAGGCACACAACCATGCTCTTAATATAACTGGTTAACAGTGTGGTTATGGGTTTAAAGTTCTTGTTTGTGATCTTGGTTAACTGTCAAGCAAATCATCTCCATTATGTTAAGTCATCCCTCTTAACATGAAATGACTTTGCAATACATGTGGTGGTTTTTTGTGTGCTTGCACTCAATGGATTTGTTGGTTTGCTTGTTTTGCATAGAGTTTGATGTGTAAAATGTAACTCATTACCATTGTTTAACTATCGTCTTATGTCTTTCCCACCTTTCACCTACCCACCAGTATTTGTAGCTGATCAGAGGTCCCTGTGCCCCCTCCCTACTCCTCCCAACATACATACACACACAGTCACATACACGCTCACAAACACTCAGTCAGTCAAGAGCTAGTGTGATGACAGATAATGTGCTTTGTCATGCTGGTTGGTGTCATGTGTTTTTCCTATACTGGATGCATGTTTGTTACTTTTAGGCTCCCGTAACCCTGGTTGGCTGGCCACGGAGACAGGGAGTCCTCGTCTCAGTACTGTGGCTCTCCACATTAGACTTTCTGTTTGGGGTATCTACTTTCACCTCCACTTTTATTCATATTCAAAGGCTTGAAGCACAATTCCAACATTTTATTAGCTAAATCAGTCATTTGATATAGTGCGAGTTAATGTAGGTTACTTTAATAATCGTCAAATTCCCATCATGTGCAAAGATCTACATTTAAAATGCATTTATGCATACTTTATACTTTAGGTGATTGACAGTGAATGTAAGATGTGATCTTTAGCCTCAAAAATATTCTGGCATTCTAAAGTCTAAAGTGTAGTTGTTCCTGCTAAAATAATTTTCAGTTACACTAAAGCATTTTTCATAGTCCATATTAGACTCTTGCCAAGGTCCATTATAGTATTTAAAATGTTACAGTAATCATCATAGTTAATTATCCATTTTATTTTAAAATATTTTCATACGCACATACATACATATTCATGTCACAGACATTTTGATACAATTTAAATGTTCTAAAAGAATAATTTAACTCTGGATTATTTGTTTGTCTGTTTTCTTTTTTTGTTAAGATGATTGCACTCAATTGTATTTTCATAGAATGACTTTCCTTGAATTTATTCTTTGTCATTGACATTTCTATTGGTTTTATATTCTAGTTCAGATATTGCAATAATTATTTATCATTTTTAATAAATGTAAGGGAAATTTTTACAGGTCTAAGACACAGGATCAGAATTGAATTTGAACAGAACTGGATGAATGTGAACTGACCACTGCTATCCCTTTTTCTTTTCTGTAGGCTAAACATGTTCTCCAAGGGCACCAAGCGTAAGTTTTCCGATGGTGATGAAGAGATATCCGACGAAAGCCTGGTAGGTGCCAGGGTGGCATCTTCGTACAGCTTGCAACGGCAGTCGCTGCTGGACATGTCCCTCATTAAGCTGCAGTTATGCCACATGCTGGTGGAGCCCAACCTCTGCCGCTCGGTTCTCATTGCCAACACGGTTAGGCAGATTCAGGAGGAGATGACCCATGATGGCAGCTGGCATATGGTCACTGAAGCGTTCTGCAGTGCAGGCCAAAGTCCCTCTGAGCGCTTGGTGGCCACTGAGGTCCTTTGCAGGTCACGAGAGCAGGATGCAGAACCTAAGCTCTTCTCTGTCATCAGCTACGAAGGTTGCCGTGAAGAGGAGGTGGTAGCTGATGAGACGCTGTGCTCCGTTTCAGTTAGCGATACTGTCTCTAATGTGTGCCTGGCAGGGCGTGTGGGCCAGTGCTGGGAGAAGAGTGAGCTCAGTGGTGTAGAGAGGGATGAAGAGGCCCTTGAAGACTCTAGACTTGATTCAGGAGAAGATGAGGAGATAGACACCGAGGATGGGGCTTCTACAGAGAGTCCAAAGACCACTGGACAAGTTTTTGGGACATTTGAAATAAAAAACGGTTCCCCAGTTAATATCTCACATTGCCTTCAATATAACTAACTTTGAATAACATGTAAATCTTTCAAATGTAAATGATTTTCTGAATGTTATCTAGTAAACTCTTATTTGGCCTGTGGGGATGGCTGAGAAATTAGACCAATAAATAACTCCGTGTGTAGGCCTACTTTGTGAAATCATACATTCTTGCATGTCCATTTGATTTTTAAGATGCCTCAAAAACAAGATGTGCATTGTTGAAGTTGGGGCCCAGGGTAGAATCACAGACGCTTTTGTTCGGGGCTCCCCGCTCCTGCGATGGCCTGCTGTCGATCAAGATGCAAGAGTCCGCCCCCATCGGCCCTTTCACTGCTGCAGCTGGCTGCCTCTCGCTGCTTACCGTATGCTCTCACTGCAATCTGTGCTGGAGAGGCCGAACGAGCTGCAGCTTCAGTATTAAACCCAGCCTACAACCGTTTATGACGCTCGCCATCAAAGAACACGAACAACACGAGGTAAGTATACGCGTAAGATTTAAATACAATCTATATTATGTAGTCGCACCGCTTAATATGATCTCGATCCGCGATTGTTAAACGCGCGGTCTATTTCGAAAAGCGGCATGTTTGCGGAAGTGGCCGTGTGGTCCATGTTTAGCCGCCCGTTATTTGCCTTTACATGTCATGTGTGTATCCAAAATATGTTTCACTCTCACGTGCATTTTGTCGACACGGTAAGCGTTTGGAAAAGTTGAAGACGCTGTTTGGGTTGCCCGTAAACAAGGCGAAGTTGACTAGCCAGCGGACCCGTTTGAAAAATCAAAATGGCTTCCATCTTTGTCGTCTCGGCAGAGAGGTTTATACCTTTGTTTCCCCGTCTCGCATGTCAGGGAGTCTGTGAGTAACCTTTTTTTTATATTTATCTAGAGGATTATTGTCCACCGAACCTTCGTATTAAGAGTCTGGGTGTTTATTTCACTGGTTTTTATTTATTTTGTTACTTACCCAGTAGCGCACTTTTTGACCAGTGACCACGTCAGTGCGGTGGGGGAGGGGAAGTGAGTCTGTCTGGGTGGAGCCTGAATGATACGTTTTGTTTTAGTTTAGACTCCAGCTACTTGAAGAATTTTTTACTGATTTTTTTATTTTTTATTATTAATAGTTTATTTTGATTAGTTTTTTCACAACTTGCAATGTAGAATTCCAGTTTCCTCAAATTCTTAACTGTTATACTTGAGGGCACATGGAGATCTCCTGAAAATCTTTCTCGATATAGAGTGCTGCAGGAATAACATATTTTTGTAGGCCAACCTAGAAGTTAGCATCATATTGGTTCCCTTGACAAAAAAGCCAATAGGATTTCCCCTCTGACGTTTAGATCATTGCAAAAAATAATCTCTGTGAACAAGCTTATGATTCTCACTTATGATTCTCGCATGTTTCGCTCATCATAATAATCACAAGTTAACACAACTTTTATAAATTTGATGCCTAAATGCAACGATATAAACAAACTACACCACAGTTGCATGACTTCACTGTCACCACCACTGAGTTTCCGCCAAATCTTTTAATCTTTAAAGGCAACCATTTGGAAAGTTTGAGTTGACTTGTGAGTAGATATTTGCCAGAATGGCGTTTAATGTCCATGGCAGACTCTTAAGTTCCATTTAGAGCAGTGGTTGTCAAACTCGGTCTTGGAGGGCCGGTGTTCTGCAAAGTTCAGCTCCAACTTGCCTCAACACACCTGCCTGGAAGTTTCTAGTGTACCTAGTAAGACCTTGATTAGCTGGTTCAGGTGTGTTTGATTAGGGTTGGAGCTAAACTCTGCAGGACCAAGTTTGGTGACCCCTGCTTTAGAGCTTTTTCAAGATGCTCAAAAAATCATGAGTGGGATTTTATGTTGAAGAATAAAACGTGAAATATCTTGAGCTTGTGTAAACCACAGACTTTATTTCAGGTATTTAATAAAAAACGCACTGATTTCAGGACGATGGAACCCGAAGTTCAAAAATCCTAACTCGTTTCCATGTTTTAGGACTCATTCCTGTGGCACTCTATTATTAACTGAATGCAGTGCTGGTGTACGAAATGTTGGTTGTAGTTTTAGTTGCAACAGATGTGTGTCAGCTTGCACTCTGGTCTCTTTTTCAACAGTGCTGGGATGTCACCCATGCTTCAGGTAGGCACACAACCATGCTCTTAATATAACTGGTTAACAGTGTGGTTATGGGTTTAAAGTTCTTGTTTGTGATCTTGGTTAACTGTCAAGCAAATCATCTCCATTATGTTAAGTCATCCCTCTTAACATGAAATGACTTTGCAATACATGTGGTGGTTTTTTGTGTGCTTGCACTCAATGGATTTGTTGGTTTGCTTGTTTTGCATAGAGTTTGATGTGTAAAATGTAACTCATTACCATTGTTTAACTATCGTCTTATGTCTTTCCCACCTTTCACCTACCCACCAGTATTTGTAGCTGATCAGAGGTCCCTGTGCCCCCTCCCTACTCCTCCCAACATACATACACACACAGTCACATACACGCTCACAAACACTCAGTCAGTCAAGAGCTAGTGTGATGACAGATAATGTGCTTTGTCATGCTGGTTGGTGTCATGTGTTTTTCCTATACTGGATGCATGTTTGTTACTTTTAGGCTCCCGTAACCCTGGTTGGCTGGCCACGGAGACAGGGAGTCCTCGTCTCAGTACTGTGGCTCTCCACATTAGACTTTCTGTTTGGGGTATCTACTTTCACCTCCACTTTTATTCATATTCAAAGGCTTGAAGCACAATTCCAACATTTTATTAGTTAAATGAGTCATTTGATATAGTGTGATTTAATGTAGATTACTTTGATAATCTTCAAATTCCCATCATGTGCAAAGATCTACATTAAAAAATGCATTTATGCATACTTTAGGTGGTTGTGGATTGACAGTGAATGTAAGATGTGATCTTTAGCCTCAAAAATATTCTGGCATTCTAAAGTGTAGGAGTTTATTGTTCCTGCTAAAATAATTTTCAGTTACACTAAAGCATTTTTCATAGTCCATATTAGACTCTTGCCAAGGTCCATTATAGTATTTAAAATGTTACAGTAATCATCATAGTTAATTATCCATTTTATTTTAAAATATTTTCATACGCACATACATACATATTCATGTCACAGACATTTTGATACAATTTAAATGTTCTAAAAGAATAATTTAACTCTGGATTATTTGTTTGTCTGTTTTCTTTTTTTGTTAAGATGATTGCACTCAATTGTATTTTCATAGAATGACTTTCCTTGAATTTATTCTTTGTCATTGACATTTCTATTGGTTTTATATTCTAGTTCAGATATTGCAATAATTATTTATCATTTTTAATAAATGTAAGGGAAATTTTTACAGGTCTAAGACACAGGATCAGAATTGAATTTGAACAGAACTGGATGAATGTGAACTGACCACTGCTATCCCTTTTTCTTTTCTGTAGGCTAAACATGTTCTCCAAGGGCACCAAGCGTAAGTTTTCCGATGGTGGTGAAGCGATATCCGACGAAAGCCTGCTAGGTGCCAGGGTGGCATCTTCATACAGCTTGCAACGGCAGTCACTGCTGGACATGTCCCTCATTAAGCTGCAGTTATGCCACATGCTGGTGGAGCCCAACCTCTGCCGCTCGGTTCTCATTGCCAACACGGTTAGGCAGATTCAGGAGGAGATGACCCATGATGGCAGCTGGCATATGGTCACTGAAGCGTTCTGCAGTGCAGGCCAAAGTCCCTCTGAGCGCTTGGTGGCCACTGAGGTCCTTTGCAGGTCACGAGAGCAGGATGCAGAACCTAAGCTCTTCTCTGTCATCAGCTACGAAGGTTGCCGTGAAGAGGAGGTGGTAGCTGATGAGACTCTGTGCTCCGTTTCAGTTAGCAATACTGTCTCTAATGTGTGCCTGGCAGGGCGTATGGGCCAGTGCTGGGAGAAGAGTGAGCTCAGTGGTGTAGAGAGGGATGAAGAGGTCCTTGAAGACTCTAGACTTGGTTCAGGAGAAGATGAGGAGATAGCCACCGAGGACGGGGCTTCCACAGAGAGTCCAAAGACCATTGGGCAAGTTTTTGGTACATTTGAAATAAAAAACGGTTCCCCTGGTCCAGACTCTGCTCTTGAGGAGCTGTTCTCAGATGTGGACACCTCCTACTATGATCTGGACACCATGCTGACCGGCATGCAGAGCGCACCCAAGATGGGCCCTTATGACCTCCTTGACAGCTTGGCACCTTCACACAGTTCCCCTTCAATAGTGTCCACCCCAAACTGTCGTTCTGATCTCAATGAACTGGATCACATCATGGAAATCATTGTGGGTTCTTAGGTTCGACTTTATTCAGAGACTTACACGCTTGTCTTAATTTTACTAGCCTTTCTGTTCCTTATGGAAAGCAAGTAAAGTCTGGAGTCCTTTCAGGGAAAAGAGTTGATGTCTTTTGAAGGATGGCCTTGATTTTATGAGCTGACCATAGTCATCTTATTTGCATACCCTTTGTATGTTTTAATGATTTTTTTCTGTATTTATCTGTCCAGACATGCTGTTTTTTATTTAATTTATTTGTTATCATGACACTATGGAGAGCAGAACAAGATGTATACAAAAGTTGTAAAGCTTGGGATATTTTCATAAGGAGAAAAAAAAGATTGTCTAGATGTGTATATAAATATATATTTTTACAATAGATTCTTCTTGTAATATGTTACTGTACATTATGTACATGTTTTACAAATTGATTTTAACCGAAGAGTTTAGATTCTTATGTGCAACAACTCAAGTTTTCTGTTAATCAAAATCCATAAACTGAAGGAGCTTAATTCAGTACTACAATATACAAAAGGCACCAAGTATACATACAGTGACGCATGTTTTACATTTATGTGCTCATTTGCACAAAGTATTTTTCTTTTCATCAAGGTTTGATTGCAGTTGTCGGTCAATCAGCTCAGCCGTAGATTTTGTTTGCTGTTAGACATCAAAGTTCTTATATTTTGTCTTGTCAACAAATGAAGTGTAATGGGGCCAACT